CCAGCTGTCCAGGGTTTGCATTACTCAGGAACAGAAGCTCCTTTTTCCCTTCTTCTGTGTGAGCTAAGGTGGGGGGCGGGGAGCAGACACACACAGCTGGCAGTTCTCTCCTGCAGCACTGTTACCCCAAAAACTCTGTCGGCACCGGCCACGTGACACTCCCAAGGTCTCGCTTCCAGAGCCTTTCTCCCGGTAAGCGACCACCTTTTCTGTGTTTATTCCTCTGGCTCAGCATCTGCCTCCCTCTGAGCCAAGAACATCTGGCCTCTAGCACTTTGTCAAACCTGCTGACCCCCTTAGAAATCTCCCCAGCCGTGCCCCCCAGCCCGCCATGTGCGGGAGCTGCTCTACACCCTTCCCTCCTTCCCCGGATAACCCACCCCGTCTCTGCCAGTTCTCGACCACGACCACCTAGAGAGCGGTCAGCCTTTCGTCTCCCTGGACCCCCCGCACCCAGAGGGGAGGGCGAGACTGAAACAAACGGCTGAATGCTTGCGTGCGCACAGGGCAGGTAGAGCTGACAGCTACCCCCCCCGCCCCCCCGCCCTCCCCGGACGGCTGGCCTTGGCCTGGCCGCCTCTTTCCGTGAGCACCAGATTCTGGACCATGAGAATCTGGGGAGAGATGTCCTGTTTTTTTGTAAATTTAACTTCCCCTCCCCCACCCCTCTCCACACCCTGCAGCCAGCCAGAGAGGAGTCAGGATAAAGGGAAAAAGGGAAATACAAGTTGCAGGCTGCTGCCGAGGGAAGAAGAGGTCATGGCTCTGACTCAGTGGGACTCTGAACATAAAACCCCGAAAAATTAACCTACCTTTCTCATGTTGAAGCCAACTGTTCTCCAGATAATACTGAATACAACTTTCAAACTCCTTCGGGCTGTAGTTGGAAACCAGGATGGGAATAAAGGGATCCAAGGCATCAAATCCCTCCTGGAGAAGGAAAAGGATGAAGACAGTGTCCGTTAAGTGACGAGCCGGAGGAGAGAGCAAACGCACTCGAACATGCGGACGGCAAGGTCTGTTTTTCTTCCGCCCTCTGCTCGCTCGCGGGCCTCACGGGCTCCACACAGCGCCCGGCCCCCCACGGCCACTGGGCCGTATGCACAAGACAGGAGTCTTCTGCGTGTGGGTTTACGTGGATATTCAACATGTGGATATACGTACATATTTAAAACATTTTTTTTACGGTTTTGACTCCAGCAGTCAACAACCATTTTGACTGTTCGTTAAGTTCAAAAATAGGAAACAAACTTGATAAGGATGCGGAAAAAGACCCAGTAGATGGAACGTGAACGGAAACAAGTAGGTCAAACTGGATTCCAGATTTCAGGCTGAACACGGGCAGAGGAGGGACACTCCCCCAGCTTCCGAACAGAGCCCTGGCCCGGGGGCCCCGCAGCCGGACACGGCAGCGCTGGGCAGACACTGGCCCCCAGTCTGCGGCTCTGTTCTCACAAAGTCCAGGGCGACTGGTCACGCAGCTTACTCTGCCACCTCGGACTGCGCTGACACGTCCACGGGATGCCAAGAGCAGCCTTCTTACTGCTGGAGGTGAGGGTTCCAGGTACGGGAAGGGGGAAGGGGACGCTGTGATGCGAGCCTGTATCCATGTGAACACATGGTTTTCTAACAAATGTTAGACAAGTATGGGTGTGTACAGACGGACAGATATGAGTATAGTACACACGTGTGTGTCTGTTTTCACACTTTCTAGCAGTGATGCCCCAGCAACTATGAGCACACCTGGCACTCACATCTTGGTACCTAAGATCCAGTTCGCTCTCAAGAGGTGGGGAATTTGGTTCCACCTCTTAAAGGGAGCATATTTTAAACACTTCTGTAGAGCAGGAGCCACACACGATGTTGGGCTTGAACCCACGACCCTGAGATCGAGTCGCACGCTCCACCACCTCAGCCAGCCAGGTGCCTCCCGGGCCATGGTTAGTAACCGTTCTCCTCGAACATGAATCAGGGCTGCCCGGAGGAATGGCTAGGACGGGGGCATAGAAAGGACGAGATGAGCGTGGAACCTATTTCTTGCCAAGAAGTAAATCAGGGCCTACAGACTGATGGGGGCATGTGCAGAGGGCACAGAAGCCACCCTGAAGGGGCTTTTACAGGCCAGATCTGGGACAAATGAAGCACCCAAATCAATAATGACAGTAAAGGTTTGAAGCTCATGAAAGAGGAGCCTGTATGTCCACCTGGAAAGAAAAGAGTGGGGAAGGAAAGTTCCTGCATGTGACAGAAAGCCAAGGGATCCGTGTAGAAGACACAAGAGAGCTAGAAAATACCATTTTGCAAATATCTCCACTGGACTCTGGGGAGAATCACAAGTGGATGCTCAAACCAGTAAGGGAAGGCTTGAGGAGTAACAGGTATTTACCTAGTTTCAAAGTAGGCGTCCATTTATTCGTACTTGTTACACAAGGAAAATAGTAACTTTACTGCCGAGAACCCAGATGGACAGCACCTTAGCCAAGTGTCCAACCTTCCCCCTGGAGTCACTGGGAGAACTGGGGCTCACAGGCGCCTCCCGATGCTGGATACCATAGAGACCCAGCCCTGCGGCTACCATTGCACATGATCAGGAGACAACACCAGCCAAGCCGTAAGATAACCCACGGTGGCCAGTACTCTTCAAACACACAGATCTAAATATTCAAAGACTGAAGCACTGTCCCCCCCCTTGAAGGAGACGACAGAGCAAGACCATCAAACGCACGATCCGGGACTTTCTGTCTCTGTGAAGGATGTGGGGTGACTGGTAAAGTTAGAAGTCCTACAGATTAGGTAACAGCGTTCTGTCGATGCCAGTTTCCTGATTTTGACAGTTGTGCTGTGTTTCTATATTTAGAATGTCTCTGATTTTAGGAAATACATGTTATTTAAGAGAACAGAGGCATCGTGTCTCAGGTTACTGTCACATAATTGAGGGGAAAAATGGAGAAGAAGAAAGCAAATATGGTAAAGTGTTAGCGTTCAGGAATCTGGGTGAAGTCATACATCAATATGGTTGTTCTCCAAGTCTGTAATTATGTCCAAAAAGAAAAAGCGATCTCTTTTGACAAAGTGACTAAGGGGAACCAGATTTTCTAAAGATTGGACCTTTCCCAGCAGCTCCTGAGGCAGATAGGCCTTCCGCGGCTTGAAGAGGGATCCAGTCTGGCTCAAAGTCAGCACGATGGTGCCTCCATGCTGAAAGAAAGGACAAAAAGCTGAATTAGAAAAAGGTGAAAAAGTGGGGCGCCTGCGTGGCTCAGCTGGTTAAGCGATGGACATCAGCTCAGGTCATGATCTCACTGTTCGTGGGTTGAGCCCAGGGTCGGGCTCTATGCTGACAGCTCCCAGCCTGGAGCCTGCTTCGGAATCTGTGTCTTTCTCTCTGTGTCTCTCAAATAAAGATGTTAAAAAATATTTTAAAAAAATGCAAAGAAGAAAAATGCATTTTATTTATTTATTTTTTTAGAAGTTTAATTAGAGAGGGTGAGCATGCATGGGGGTGGGGCAGAGAGACGGAGAGAGAGAATCCCAAGCAGGCTCCACACCCCTTGCTCAGCCCCACGTGGCGCTCTATCCCATGAACCGTGAGATCACGACCTGAGCTGAAATCAAGAGTCGGAGGCTTAACCAACTGAGCCACCCAGGCGCCCCAGAAAAGTGCATTTTAATCACCGGTCGATTTTTAGTACAGCTGAATGGCAACTAAGTAGGTTATCACTTCTGGTGTGGCGCTGATGGCAAACTGCTACGTGATCTTCAATTTATCAAAATCTTTTCCGAAGTTGCTAAGATATAAAACCACTCTGAACAGCTGCAGAGTCAAAGTATGCCAGGATTTAAGTACAGTGGCTTGTATCCAAGGCGAGCAGGAAGATAGGAAACCAAATATCCAGATTTTAAACTTCGGCACTGCTAGGGCAATTAAGGAAGATACAAGAACTTTCTGGGTGTAAAATCGGAGCCGAAAACTATCAGGCGTCGCACATACTCACCCAGTCGTTTTTCACCATTTTCCTCAGGTTGTGCACGAGTGCAAGCTCCTCGGGGGCCACCTGCCGGGTCAGTGGGAAGGGGGGGACGGGGCCGAGGTCAGTCCTTGGTCTGTGCGGGTGCCCGCCCGAGACAAGGACTACAAAATCCTGCACTGCTCTGTGACCACGGTGCCTGCGGCCATGTGCCCCACCCTGCCAGGTTTCTGATTAAAACCTGTCAGCAAGGGAGAGAGCGGCCTGGGCCCACACCACCGCCTCCCTCCATGTTTCTGCTCTTGGCTGCGGAAGCACGGTCTGACCGCTGCACACAGAAGCCATCGCTCAGCCCCACTGAGGAGACAGAAGAGAAGGAAAAAACTGACAAAACAGCTTCCGCTGTGCCGTGCCCTTCTAGACGCTCTCCCTTTTCAACGGACGGCGGACCCCTCTCCTAATTCCAGTACTCCTAAGGCGAGGCGACGTGCCACCTGGGCTACAAGGCCAAGTCCCGGCCTCCGCGTGCCAGTGCCGGAGTCAGAGTAACCAGAGGAGAGAAACCCAGTCTTCCTACCAGGCTTTTATCTTCTCTTTTCAGTGTGGTCTTTCCCCAGAGAGCGTTGACTCCATCCACTGCCACCAGGAGGCGAAACCCGCCCAAGGAACTCTGACCCTTGAGCTCTCTGAGAACAACCCCGACCGCGTCCGTGGCGTTCTTCACCCGCATGATGCCCTGCAGGGGAGAGAGGTGGGGCTGGCGGTCCCAGAAGAGGCCTCCCCTGCTGTGACAGAGGACGGGTGGCTGGCCGCTGTCTTGTTTCATACCTGTTCCACCACCTCTCCCAGAGGGCTGCCTTTCTCCGTGCTCTCTCGCTTATTCCAGACATATTTCTCTTGAACTTTGATCTAAAAGCAAACAAAAACCAAAAAAGGCCACTTAGCCTAAAGATGAACCCATCTGTATCTGAGAAGGGAGGAGGGTAAGGTTGTTTACAGTCGGGTTTAATCTATTTTTCTTTCCTTCTTTTTTTGAAAAGTAGGCTCGATGCCCAGCACAGGGCTTGAACTCAGGACCCTGAGATCAAGACCTGAGCTCAGATCAAGAGTTGGAGGCTTAACCGACCAAGCCACCCAGGCGTCCCTATATTTTAAGCCCTGTAAGAGACTTCAGTATGGAAGGGAATGCTTTCTAGCCCTTTTTTGCCTAAAGCTTAAAACCAAAACCCACAAGGGATTCTGACCAAAAAGGTCTGGGATGAGGCCTTGGTATCCACATTTATAACAAGCTCCGAAGAGACTCTGATTTATAACCAGAGTTGAAAACTCTTGGCCTAGAGATTGTACCCGAGAATCACTAGAGCAAAGAACCATTTTACCAATACATTTCTGGTTTCAAGAAAGACCTCATCTGGAGAAACTTATGTAGCTGAAAATGTGCTTTAGAGAATTTGAGGCTGTAGCTTTGGAAAAGTCAATGAATCCATCTGGACTGCAAGGGGACACCTCATGGCGCTTCTTTATTTCACACGGACGAGCAAGTTTCAGGTTGTGAGCTGCCAATAAAACATATGAAAGAAATACAGAATGGCATAGCGATCCCAGCTACAATGCTAGTTTTCCATAGTCTGGTGCTCAAGACACGAAGAAGATAAAGTCTATTGAAAGACTGTCCGGCACTGGGGCGCCTGGGTGGCTCAGTCGGTTAAGCATCCGACCTTGGCTTGGCTCACGATCTCACGGTTCAGGGGTTCGAGCCCCACTTTGGGCTCTGTGCTGGGAGCCTGGAGCCTGCTTTGGATTGTGTCTCCCTCTTTCCTTTCCTCTCTCCTACTTGCACTCTGTCTCTCTTTCTCTCTCAAAAATAAACAATAAAAAAAATTAGGGGTGCCTGGGTGGCTCAGTTGGTAAATGTCCAACTTCAGCTCAGGCCATAATCTCATGGCTCATGGGTTCGACCCCCACATAGGGCTGTGCTGACAGCTCAGAGCCTGGAGCCTGCTTTAGATTCTCTCTCTCAAATAAGTACACTGAAAAATAAAACAGAATAAAATAAAGACTGTCCAGCATCAAGCTTCTGGGAATCTGGTCACCTGACTCAAGAAACGCTCATTTGTAGTTTTGAAATTCTTCAGCCAGATGGAAGCTTCTGCAGGTTGGTCCAAACGCTGCTTGTTGTAGGTGGAGGGCAGAAGACTCCGGCAGCTCTTCACCCAGAGATGAGCTGGAAACAAACACACGTGGAAACAAAGCAGGCAGGAGCTGACTGTATTCAACTCAAAATCCTCTCTGCCTCTTTAAGTTATGGGAAATGGCTTTAGCTTCCCGTATACAGTTGACCATCTGTGTATGACTTCTGACCCCCGAAACTTAACTACTAATTGCCTACTGCTGACCAGAAGCCTTCCTGATAACACAGTGTCGATTAACAAACATTTTGGATGCCATATGTGTTACAAACTGTATTCTCACAGTGAAACAAGCTGGAGAAAAGAAAACGTGACTAAGAGAATCATAAGAGAAAGTACATCTACAAGACACTATTTACTCCAAGAAATCTGTGTGTAAGTGGACCAGCACAGTTTAAACCGTGTTGTTTAAGAACCCACTGCATATTTCTTGAAGTCTCCTTGCTTCAAAGGGTCACTTTTGGGCTGGCCCTTGTGAGATCAGACCTTCTGGTTACAGTTGGGACACGAGGCACACCACGTGGATGAAAGGTCACTGTAGCTTCCTGGCAGTTTTTAAACGTAGTTAGAAAACACGGGTGCTCACACAACACCAAATAAAACGTGGGGTGTATGCAAAGGAAGAGAGTTCTAAGACCCATGCTGACGACTCTGGAATGCTGATGAACAGCCCGTGTCAGAGTTCCCCCGGCTAATCAGAACTGCTCACTGAAGGCAACAGAGCCTGTGCTGACCTCGAAGGAGGGAGCTTACGGTCTTGGGCGCTACTTCAAAGTGAGGACTGCTGGGCCAGAATGCTCCGTTCTTACTTCAGAAGTTTCCAGGAAGCTTCCACTGAACCTCCTGGTGCTACACTGACCTCACCGTGCACCCCACTTGTGGCCACCATGAGGTCATGACCGAGCAGCTCACACTGGCCTGCATCGGGAGCAGAGGCCTCTTCGGAGCCCCCGTGGCCCCCGGGCCCCATCCGACCACCTCAACAGTGAGGAAAGGAAGTTCTTACCATCCGGAACGTGCAGGATCAGCCAGTCCTGCTTTGCACAGAAATGAATAACATGGCAAAGACTGAGGGTTTTTCCTGTCCCTTTCTCCCCATCTAAAGCACCTGTGGTTAAAGAAAATGTCATTGGAAGGACACTTCTGTCAACAAACAGCACTTTTTGAGAGAGAGAACACGAGCAGGGGAGAGGCAGAGAGAGGGAGACACAGAATCCGAAGCAGGCTCCAGGCTCCGAGCTGTCAGCACAGAGCCCGACGCGGGGCTCGAACTCACAAACCGCGAGATCGTGATCTGAGCTGAAGTTGGACACTTAACCGACTGAGCCACCCAGGTGCCCCCCAGATAGCACTTTTTGATTTCCTCTTTCCCCCCGTTGGCCCAAGACAGCTCGGGCAGGCCGGAAAGGATACAGAGAACATACCGCACAGCAGGGTGGGCAAAATTGGTGTTTTTCAGGTAATGCAGAAGCTCCAGGGCTGGCTTCCTTACCATCAGACAAGCTTCACTGAATGTTTTCACCTAATGGATGAAGAAGAGGAGGGGGCATGGGGTGTGGAACACACTGAGCCTGATGCAGCAGCCAGAGCATCCAAGTGCCTAGTTTTCATTTAGTCACTGAAGAGATGGCTGGTATTGAATTTGAAAATCTACCCATATAATTTAGTTAAATCTGAAACACACTGTCCCACACCAAGTAACACAACAGTCACCTTCTGATTATTTCTATTAATGAAGCAGATACTACATCATTAGTTGAAATCTACAAACCGTCTATAGATATCTTGTAACACAGCTGTGTATACCAGTTAGGATTAATAAAAGTATTAAAAGAATGTAAAATCCTTAACAAAGTGTCTGACACATGGTAAGTATTTAATGAACGTTTTATTTTTTTTTTAATGTTTCTATTTAAGAGCGAAAGAGCGGGCGTGCAAGTAGAGGGGCAGAGAGAGAGGGAGACACAGAATCCGAACCAGGCTCCAGGCTCCCAGCCGTCAGCACAGAGCCCGGATGTGGGGCTTGAATTCACGAACTATAAGATCATGACCTGAGCCGAAGTCAGACGCTAAACCGAGCCACCCAGGTGCTTCTAAATGTTAATTGTTTTAAATCTCTTTTTAGCTAATTCTTATTACTGGAACCATCTGGACATTTCTCTGGAAATATATACGTGACAGCTCCGGAGCAGGTGTGACCAGCTGCTGCCCCGCCCATGCTGGACACACCGGCACACAGACATGCCAGAGCACTGACACAGAAAGTTCCGTCCCTGCTTGTCTCTGGTCACCAGGAGTACTTCCGTGGAAAAATCTGGGAAGCACAGGTGTGCGTGACACCACTGTGCACATAAAGTATTCAACAATGTCTGCTGACAAGAACAAATATCTAACAAGAACTACTCACAAGTGTATCAGATAAGGATTAAAATTGCGTTGGTGTTTTCTGAAGAAATCCTAACCACGCAATTGGACCGGAGAAGGACTTGACGGGCAAGTTCAAACTTAACGGAAAGCGAAACCTTCAAGAACACGATACAGACATTAAAACAGAAATGCCATATTAGGCAATATGACAGAACTAAAGTACACAAACAATGGTGAGGGGGTTGGCCTTCACATAAATGGCAATTATGGAAAGAACGCAGGAGTAATTCTCTGCAGAGCACTGGTGGTCACGCTGGTCTGGAAGCAACCGGAGACAGTTAGCGCTGGGCCCGCACGGCCCTCCAGCTAGAGGCCTCCTGGCAAAGGTCTTTAAACGGTTCAAGTGCCATTACAGACCACTTCTTCTGGCTGTGCCCTAGTTCCACATTTAAGAGTTTTGATGCCAAGGCTGTTTGTGGCCTAGAATGAGCTCCCTTACTAGTGTCTCGTCTCCTCTCTTGAAACAAAGCACACAGAGGGAAAGCCGTCCTCTGGCTCCCGAGCTAAAAATCACCTGCACCATCAAGCCTGCTTTTTCAGAAAGGAACGATTTCTGAGGCTGAAAGTAATTCAGCGGGATTAGTCCAAAGGACCAGTTACGCCAACAAACCACGCCTGCAGTTAATCATGAATTCTTTCAGTGTCTGCAAAGCAACCCAAAATTACATCTTCGGGTTGAAGTTACAACCACGAAACTACATTTTCTGAAAACCCAGGAGAATGAAGAACAATAATGCGTCTATTCCAAGTATCACTTCTGTTTGGCTCTACATCATGATTTTGTTTTCTAGAGCATGGTGGTCATTTTTGTGTTTTGCTAAGACAGATTTTAAATTTATTAGTTATTTGAATGCCGAAGTCTCTAGAAATCTGTTAGGTGGGTAACACGAAAGCAGTGCGACAGGTTTATCTAAGAACATTTTTGCCTGCCTCCCAATGATTAACCACAAATAAACGCTGACTTAAAATAACGAGAGTCACAGCACTATTCACAAAAGATAGTCAATAGCTGAATTCATCTGTTTTAGATTCAAATTCCATCTTTTATAGTTTTCTACCCATTTAATCCCACCCTCCGCCACCGGCAGCTCCCTCCCCCTCCCCTCCTGAGCACCTGCATGGAAAAGCGAGGAGGCAGGCTGTGGGGGAACAGGGTCCTCATGTCCTGGAGGGGGATGTTGTAGTGGAGACCTTCATGCTGCTCCCCATGCCTGGCCTGCGGAACAAAAACGCAGACAGGTGTGAACGGGGCCAGAGACAAAGTGACACTTAAATGGAAAGGGCCCACTAGACCACACTAGGGAAACTTCATCTCTCAGGGCTGGGAACGAGCTCTTTTCATTTCTTACTCTTTTTTTTGAATAAAAAAAAATCTTTTTCAGTTTCTGAAATAGAGATTTATTTTTGAGATACACTGAGCGGGAGCAGGGGAGGGGTAGAGAGAGGGAGACAGAATCCCAAACAGGCCTGCGCGCTGTCAGCGCAGGGCCTGATGTGGGGCTTGAACGCATGAACTGCGAGATCATACCCTGAGCTGAAATCAAGAGTTGGACACTTAGCTGACTGAGCCACCCGGAAGCCTCTAAAATTGTTTTTAGTGTTTGAGAGAGAGAGACAGTGTGAGGAGGGGAGGGGCAGAGAGAGAGGGAGACACAGAATCCGAAGCACGCTCCGGGCTCCGAGCTGTCAGCACGGAGCCCGACGCGGGGCTCAAACTCAACGAACCGTGAGATCATGACCTGGGCCAGTGGACGCTTAACCGACTGAGCCCCCCATGCACCCCACTGTCTTTCATCTCTTAGCTTAGACAAAAAGTGCTGGCTGGCTGTTGTCCTCAAATCCACAGCGTGTATATAAAGCTGCTCTTGGCCTAAATGACGAAGCCAGTTGCTCAGCAACGTACACCCTACATGTGGAGGTAAGAGACAATTCTTGCCATCTGGATTCTTCCGTGCTGGGTATGGAGATGTTCCAGTCACGTGACAAGATCATCTGCATACCGCTGTTTCCATAGAAACCCCAGAGGAATTGGAGATAAAGGGACTACAGTTACAGGGAGAGCTCAAAAACACTTCAGTGACTTCATTCACTTATTCAGTTTATTTTCTGCTTTTGAAAGTAGGTGAATGCTAGAGACATAAAACACCCTACTGAGACGGTGTCTCGGGTGATGAGTTCACCCCACCCCGTCCACGTGCGCAGCGTGTGTTAAGGTGGGGAGACTCCGGGGGCGCCTGGGTGGCGCAGTCGGTTAAGCGTCCGACTTCAGCCAGGTCACGATCTCGCGGTCCGTGAGTTCGAGCCCCGCGTCAGGCTCTGGGCTGATGGCTCGGAGCCTGGAGCCTGTTTCCGATTCTGTGTCTCCCTCTCTCTCTGCCCCTCCCCCGTTCATGCTCTGTCTCTCTCTGTCCCAAAAATAAATAAACACTGAAAAAAAAAAAAAAAAAAAGGTGGGGAGACTCCGGGGGCAGGCCAGGTACAAAAAAGGAGAAGAAAAGCTATTGGTTCCCTTCACATGTAAGCACAGAGCACACGACTAATGGCATTTATGAGAGGCCACCGTAACGCCGGGGAAGGGGACAAATCAGCATCCGGCCTGAGGGGGCCTGTGCCAGAAAATGCAACCCTGGGTACTGCTGGGTACAAACACACTGTGTTCTTCTCAGCGCATCAAGTTAGTGCTCCCTCCAGACACCAGGAAGTCCACTCAGGAAGGTGGAAAATAGCACCAGACAGACTAATGGGAAAACTGGGTTCTGTACGTGCCCTACTATGTGGTCTTGGGCAAGCAAGTTGATTTCTTTAGGACTCTCCATACCGGGGTCGGTAAACTATGGCTGCGTACCCATTTTTGTGAATAAAGTTTTACTGGCACACAGCCACACCCACTCGTCTATGGCACACCTAAGCAGTTGTGACCGAGACCATTTTGGCTCATAAGCCTGAAATACTAACTTGTCCGTAAGGCCACGTCTGCCGACCCACCGCACAGCAAGATCGACAACTACCGGCTTAAGTATTCACACAGTACGTGTACTGCGTACCCGCCTTATGCCGGCAAAATCCTGGGCAGAGCAGGCCTCTGTGGCAGGGATTAAGCCAGAACAGGCGTGGACTGGCCCAGCCGAGTGTTAGGTTACCAGAGCCTGGGACGGGGAAGAGGCGCTCTGGGCCGCGCAACGCGCTCTTGAGTGACCGCATGAAGACCTGCCTGGTCTCTCCCGCTTTCGGTTTTCCCGATACACAGAACGATAGAGACACAAATTGCAAGACTTGAAGAAAATCCACATACGCGCCAGCAACTCACCGGGTCCTTCTCACTGGTGCGGGAAACTGCTCTGGGACTATCATCTGGGGCCTGGTTGTCCAGGGGAGCGGCAAGGCTTTGGGGGGCCTGGGACCCCGCGTGCAAAAGTCGTCCAGGGTCCAACTAGAAAAGAAACCGTTTCCATGTTGTGAAGTTAATGCCTGCTACAAAACTGAGGTTTCGAGCCACGTCCGCAACAGGGAAACTGTGATACACGTTTTAGTTTTACGTCAAAAGAACGCTTATTTTCATAATTCTCGAAGTCCAAGCCCGTTACTCATACTCGGACTCTGTTGAGGCTCATGTTGTGGGGACAGGGCCCTGTCGCACCCGGAAGCGGACAAATCTGGAGACCGTTCAGGAGCACAGCACGGCCAAGGCCGGCCGGGGGCAGGGTGCCCTCGTCCACGGCCACGCCCGGACCGCCCCCTTCTCATTCACCCAGTAATTGGCGTTGCCTCTGTTATTGACGGGGTTAGCGCAGCGTTCCTGGGCGAGGGGTATTATCCCACTCTCCGCAGCAGTTCTCTCGCCAGCCGTGCCCCGGAACCATCTCTGGTTAAGGATGTATGATGAGGAATGAAGGAGTCCGCTCTGCGGGCAACTTCGCACACGGCTCACGGACACCCCCGAACTGAGGAGAGGTCAGGCTGGGGGGGTGATATTCCAGAGACAGATCTGAGCAAATGCTGACTGGAGAACCCTCCCCAAAACTGAGCTTAAGGGTAACAGGCCTTGGTAGGAATGAAAAGATTCACTGTAGGGCTGGAAAATGGAGTTTACGCAGCAAGAGACTAGAAGGGTAGGCTGAAGT